GTGGAAACTTTGAGATCATTTATGCAGTACTTGAACTTTGAGTCTGAAGCCCTGAGTACACCTCTTTCTTTCACCAGTTTAGCTAGCAAAAGTAGGACCAACCAACCAGCTTCCTTATACTTCTTATTATGACAAAATTGTAGAAAGGTATCATGTGTGCAATCACCCAGAGCCTCACATTTCACCAATACCTGATCTGTTGGTGGTGATATTTTGCACATTTGAATTGCTACCTCACCCCATGGATTAGCAGTGCCCTGTTTACTACTGGAAGCAGAGTCATCAACATCTTTAAGACTAACCAGACTTGAGAACCAATTTAGAAAACTCATTCTTACAATTTTGTTTTTCTAGAACCACTCTTGGTACCAACTGTCTTAGGCTGGGTTCTCTAGAGAAGCAAAACCAGTAAAGTGTATAAATATATGTAGAGAGAGAGATTTATATCAAGGAAACAGCTCACGCAATTTTAGAGGCTGGGATGTCCCAAGTCCATGGATCAGGATAGAGCTTCTCTTGATTCACGTAGCCACAGGGGCTGGTGAACCCAAGATCTCCAGGTTGGAGAGCAGGGCTCTTGCTCACAGGCTGTGAAGATCGATGAATCCCAAGATCAGCAGGTAAGCTGCTAGCTCAAGTCTCAAGAACTGGAGGTCAGACAATCAAGAGGCAGCTGAGGATCCAGAAAGGGCAAAAGCCAGAACATCCAGTTATATTTGGATGCAGTCTACATGCCCAAGGACACTCACTTTCAACTGACTGGCTACTCACAACAGATCCCATCAGGGGGGTGATCACATATAAATACTGAGAATCATGGCCCAGCCAATTTTGACACACAATCTTAACCATCACAATGGCTGAATAATATTCCATTGTATGGATATACCACATTTTGTTTATCCATTCACCAGTTGATGGACATTTGGGTTGTTTACACCTTTTGGCTATCATGAATAGTACTGCTATGAACATTTGTGTACAAGTATTTGTTTAAATACCTGTTTTAAATTCTTTTAGAGAATGTTCCAAGGAGTGGAATTGCTGGGTCGTATGGTAATTTTATGTTTAACATTTTGAGAAACCACCAAACTGTTTTCCAGCATAGCTGCACGAGTTCACATTCCCACCAGCAATGTGTGAGCGTTCCAATATCTCCACATCCTCACCAACATTTATTACTATCTGATTGTTTTTATTATAGCCATCCTAATGGGTGTGAAGTGGTATTTCATTGTGGTTTTGATTTGAATTTCCTACTGACTAATGCTACCACCCATACGTCGGTTTGTCATACTGGGTGGCTTTTGTACTGCTATTTTGCTGGGAGCTATGCCACCAGTATTTCAAATACCAGCAGAGTCACCCATGGTGGACAAATTATTACTGTTCTTTGTAATAAGTTTTGAAATCAGGAAGTGTGACTCCTACCTTGTTCTTCTTTTTCAAGATTGCTTTGACTATTCTGTGTCCCTAGTAATTCCGTATGAATTTTAGAACCAGCTTCTCAATTTCTAAAAAGAAGCAAGCTGAGATTCTGAGAAGGATTATATTGAATGTGTAGATCAATTTGGGGAGAATTGCCATCTTACCAATTGTCTTAGTCATATAGTGCTGCCATAACAGAAATACCACAAGTGGATGGTTTTAACAAAGAGAAGTTTATTTCCTCACAGGCAAAGTAGGCTAAAAGTTGAAATTCGGGGTGTCATCTCCAGGGGAAGGCTCTTTCTCTCTGTCAGCCTCCTTCTTTTCAGTGTTCTCCTGGACTAGGAGCTTCTCTGCACAGAGACCCCTGTCCAAACGACGCACTCTGCTCCCAGCACTGCCCTCCTGATGGTATGAGGTCCCCCTGTCTCACTGCTCACTTCTATCTTTTATATCTCAAGAGATTGCCTCAGGCCACAATCTAGTCTTGTAAATTGAGTCCTTCCTCACTAACACAACTATGGCCTATCCTCCCTCATTAACATCACAGAGGCAGGATTTACCACACACGGGAAAATCACACAATACGGGGAATCACGGCCCAGCCAAACTGATAGACACATTTTTGGGGGGACATACTTCAATCCATGACACCAATATTAATTTTTGATTGTTCATTGCAAGTGTATAGAAATACTTAACTCATTTATTAGTTCTAATAGTTTTTTAGCACACGCCTTAGGATTTTCTATATGACTGAATTAGGCAAGAGCAGAAGGCACAGGGGGACTGACTTTAGCTCAGAAAAAGAAGTCCTCTAACCACAACTTCCTACTCTTGCAGTCCAAACTCTGTCACACTAGATATCTAACCTCATTGTGCCATGTGGGAGTGGAAGTCCTGTTTCTCTCAGTCCATCTCCCTTCCTTGCCTCACTTCCTTCCCTGTCCAGTGCACATTCTTCAGCTATGCCCTTCTCAGAACAGTTTGCTAAATTCTTGGGCCTTCTCTGGGCCTGCCCTTCTCTCCCACCCCCAACCTAGGATAAATAAATCTTGTCCTCGGGCGGCTAGGTTTGTATAACAGAGAAAAAGTCATGTGTTTTGACACTAGAACCATGACATATATCTTATGGTCTCCACCTCAGTCGGGCAAATCTTATTTATCCCTAGCCAATTAAAATGGTAGACAGTATTTTCTCACTTTCCTGATAGGTGCTATGCCAAGATCTCAGTCCACTCCTCTCATCTGTTCAATCAATCATTCAATAATGATTTTTTGAGCACTTGCCATGTGCCAGGCACTGCTTTAGGGACTGGAGATTCAGAACAGAAAAAGACCAACACAGTTCCTGCTCATGAAGCTCATGAAGCTTTGAACCCAACAATAAACAAATACAGATATAAATACCAGTTGGCATCAAGTCGATTTTGCGACTGCATGTGTGTCAGAGTAGAACAGTTCTCCATAGTGTTTTCAATGGCTGATTTTTCAAAAGTAGATTGCCAGGCCTTTTTTCCAAGGTGCCTCTGGGTGGACCTTGATTCAACTCCATTTGGTTAGCAGCTGAGCACATTAATCATTTGCACCATCCGGGGACTCCGCAGATATAAAAAAGAAGATTGAGATAAATGCTATGAAGGAAATAAAACAGCATGTTGTAATAGAAAATGATGAGGGCAGGAAGTGCTCTTTCAGATGGAGTGACATTGGAGTTGAATCCTGAACAATGAAAAGGAGCCTTGCGATCTGTGCTCAGAGCTTCACTTTAATGGAAATTCCACAGACTCTGCTACCACATCTACCCACCAGCATCTATACCCATATTCTCTGCCTTCCAGCCTGGTACTATAAATTGACTGTGTTCTTACATTAAGACCAATACCCTTCACCCACTAGTGAGCTAGGTGCCAGTCCCTTTCGCCTCCTCCAGGACGTTGCTACAGGAGGACTCCTTCTTTCTCCTGAATCATCATGTTCTCCTTCTCTGCTGGATTATTCCCATCTTCATACAACCATACTATTATTTCTCTCATCTGAAAAACCAACAAACCCAAAAAAGCCCCTTCTTGACCTCACTAAATGCCCTAATTTCTTGCTCCCTTTTAAGTAGAACTCCTTGAAAAGTGTTATCCATACTCACTTTCTACAACTCTTTTCCTCCCATTCTCTTGAAACTGCTTCAATTAGGCTTTTATCCTCAGCACTTCACGGAAACTGCTTTTCTCAAGGACACTTCTGACTTACACATTGTTCAGTCCAGTGGTCCATTGTCATCCTCATCTTGACCTATCAGCAGCTTTAGACCAACTACATCCCTCCTTCTCTGTGGAGTCAGTTTCTTTCAATTGGCTTCCAGGACATTTCACTCTTCTTGTTTTTTCTCCTGTTTCACAAGCCATTCTTTTTCATCTCCTTTACTGATTCCTTCTCATATTTGTGACTTAATGTTGCAGTGTCAATCTTAGACCTTTTAAAATAAATTTACACTCATTCTCTTAGTGATTTCATCCAATCTCATGACCTAAGCCCCAAACCATAGAATCATCCTTGAATACCCTCTTTTGCTTACACCCCACCTCTTAAAAGTAAAAAAATCTTTTGCACCCCTTTCAAAATATATACATAATTTGGCCACTTTTTCCCACCTCAACTGCTACCACCCTTATCTAACCAACATCATCTCTCTCTCTTTCTTTTGGCAACAGATAACAAGTTTATTGTAATGTAATTCACCCTTTTAAAGTGTGCAACTTAGTGGTTTTTAGTATATTCACTAAGTTGTGCAACCATCACCACTATCTAATTTTAAAACATTTTTATCATCTCTAAAAGAAATCCTGGACCTCATTTGTAGAAACTCCTCATTCCTCATCTCCCCAGCTCTAAGCAACCATCACTCTACTTAATGAATCTATCCAATATCATTTCTTGCCTGAATTATTAATATATGCTCGTAACTGGTCTCCTGGAATCCCTGAGTGGTACAAATGGTTAAAGCACTTGACTGTTAACTGAAAGATTGGAGGTTCAAGTTCAGACTGGGAACAAGCGTACCTGTGTGTGCAGAGGGGGTTTACACCACAGGAGATGACCCCTGAAGTTATGAAACTCAGAGCTTATATAAGACAGGTGATATAGCTGCCTTTCCCCCCTTGGGGGATGGGAAGAGAAAGAGAAAATGTGTTAAGTGTGTGTGTGTGTGTGTAAGCAAATGGCTCTGGGTTTTATTACCCTTGAGTGGGAGCAGATGGTTCTGGGACTGCATCAGAGAGAAAACATTCCGTATCTCCATCAATGTCCACCATTCAAACATCTATTGATAATCCAGGTGCCAGTATTCTGCCCAGAAAGCCCCGACTGTGCAGAAACTCATGAAGCTTTGTTCCTCACACACAGACCATGCCAGCTGACCTTACCCCTGCCCACCTGCCCCTGCAGTCCTTTCCTTGGGGAAAGGGGTTAGAGTAACTAGGGAGTTAGAATGAAGAAAATCTAAGTATCATGGACTCCCGGCCCAGCCATATCACACACCCAGTAAAGGTCTATTGAATGAATGACACCAATTCACTGTTTAAGATTTTAATAGAAGCGGGGCAGAAGTTTGTTTTGTCGAGACTTCTTGACGGGGCTCCCTCAGAGCCAGGGCAACACGAGCCTATTCAACATTCACCTTTCTCCTCTGCGCCTTAGGTGAAGCCTCGGGCCCCTTGGAGCAACGCCAGGCTGCCTGACATCCCTATGTCAGGGTCGAGTGCCCACAGACTCCAGTTGCACCTGAGTTCTTCGGGCCCTCGTGGGGCTTGGCGACTCCAGCGTCCAGGAAGGGATTCCCGTCCAGTGTCAGGTTTTCCACCTGGGGCAGTTCATCTGGCCGCGGCGCCCTGTTCAGCCGGTTGCAGCTGAGATCCAGCACGCTGAGCTTGGCCGGCAGTCCCTTAGGCACCTGCTCCAGTCCAGCGAACGACAAGAGGAGGGAGCTCAATTCGCTGGGCCAGACGCACCTAGGGCCGCCGGGGTTTGCGGTGGCGCGCAGCGCGTTCTGGCTGAGGTCTAGGCGGTTAGGCTGCACAGCAGCCGCCGCCAGCACCGCACACACGCCGTTGGGAGTCTCCATCCCTGTGTTGCGCAGCCCCAGATCCTGGAGGGCGGGGAACTTGTGAGGACAGAGGGCCGCAGCCAGCCCGCGCTCGCCCAGTCCAGGGTTGTCCGACAAGTCTAGGGTGGTGAGAGTCGGGAAGGTGCGGAACTGCTCGCAAGATAAAGCAAGCGGGTGTGTTTGCGCAATGCTCAGTACCTTGAGGTTTGGCTTGAGCCACTTTTGCAGTTCGGCCAGCCAGGCACCCCCCGTGGCCCACGACACGTTGCGCAGGCGGAGGGTGGAGAGCGCAGGCCCTGTGGCTTCCAGAGGCGGCGGCGGATAGGTGCCGGTTACCTCCAGGTCCTCCAGCGTCAGTTCCTTGAGGCGGGAGTAACCGAGCGCACGAAGGACTGCGAACAGGAGCCGGGCAGGAACCCGGGCAGCGCCCACGGTGAGCCGCCGCACGCGCAGAGCCTTTATCACATCAGCGTATTTCTGCGGGTCGGTATCAGCGACCTCTAAAAAAGTCTCAAGACTGTGGCCGCCACCACGAATCTGCACCTCGACGGCAACCATACATTGGTAGCCATTGGACCAGTCGGGCTGTGGATCCGAGAAGTTGCAGGCGCAGTGGTAATCTTCATCGTCCAGCTCGCACGGCTCCGGCGTGGCCTCCGAAGCGGCCAGCTGCGGCGGCAGCAGCAACAGCAGCAACAGGCAAGATGAGAGCTCCTGGGGAGAGAGCGGAGGTCAGGGCGGCCTGAACACACCTCTAAGGCTCTCGGTTTGTCAGTTCCTCCCAGTCCTCACACTCACCATGATCGATAGGTCCTCGGAACCTCTGCACCGTTGGAGCACTCTGAGGGGCTTCCTTCCCAAACTGAAGCACCCGCTGGCCTCCAGGTCCACTTGGTGGATCTGTCCAAACTCTTTTGCAGCCTCTAAGAGTTACATAATCCTCCTGATAGATAGATAGATAGATCAGTTTGTTCCCTGTGATGAACCTTGGTCCCTGTCCCCACCTCCCGTCCTCCCAACCACCCACCTCAGTTCCCTTCTGGGAAATGTGTGTGTGTGTGTGCGCGCACTTTAGGTGAAAGTTTACAGCTCAAGTTAGTTTCTCATTCAAAAGTTTATACACATATTGTTTTGTGACATTGGCTGCAGTCCCCACAATGTGACAGCACTCTCCCCCTTTCCACCCCAGGTTCCCTGTGTCCATTCATCCAGTACCTTTCCCTTCCTGCCTTCTCCTCTTGCTTTTGGGCAAGAGTTGCCTATTTGTTCTTATGTATTTGACTGAACTAAGAAGCACGTTCCTTATGTGTGTTGTTGTTTGTTTTATAGGCCTGTCTAATCTTTGTCTGAAATGTGGGCTTCAGGAGTAGTTTCAGTTCTGAGTTAGCAGTGTCCGGGGGACTATAGTCCTCCAGTCTCAGTTAGACCAGAAAGTCTGGTCTTCTTCTCTGAATTTGAATTTTGTTCAACATTTTTCTCCTGCTCTGTCCGGAACTCTCTTTTGTGATCCCTGTCAGAGCCGTGGGTGGTGGTAGCTAAGCACCATCTACTTCTTCTGGGCTTAGGCTGGCAGAGGCTGTGATTCATGTGGTCCTTTAGTCCTTTGGGCTAATATTTTCCTTGTGTCTTTGGTTTTCTTTCATTCTCCTTTGCTCTGGATTGAATGGGACCAATAGATGTATCTTAGATGGCCACTCACAAGCTTTTAAGACCCCAGACACTACTCACCAAAGTAGGATGTAGAACATTTTCTTTATAAGCTATGTTATGCCAATTGACCTAGGTGTCCCCTGAGACTACGATCCCTAGCCCTCACCGCCCCCCTTCTGGGAAATTTTGCAATGGAAGAGGGGCCATGACGGAAAGGATCCTGAAGGGCATCCGGGGCCTTTCCACTCAGTCGGTGCCAGGATGACTCATTCTTCCTGTGGGTATGAGGAAGGGATGATCCCCAGTGCCTAAGGCTAGATTCTCTGACCTCTGGCCCTTTCTCCAGCAACCTCAGCCCAAGAAGGGTTCTCCTCCACCACTTTTCCCTAGTCTTAATTACTATTGTCCACCAGCCACCCAAATCCAATCTCCTGAATATCCTCAGATATTTAACAGGCTGTCTTTTCCAAGAGATTGCAAAGTTCATCTATTGACTCCAAGCAGGTAGAAGAATTGGGTTCGAGAGAAGAAAGTTGGTCTGAAAAATAACTCCTGTACTTTTTTTTTTTTTGCTTGTTCCTTAAGTAGTAACTTTCTAAAGTAGAAGTGTTCAACAGAGACACTTTGACCAAGTTGCTGCATCCCTTACAGTCTCCACGTCCAGTCCTGAAATTGGGAAGTAAGATATTTTAACACTCTTTTCCCAGTTGCCCTTCCCCCTCCCTTATCCTTCTCCCAATTCCTACGTACTGGGAAGGAAAGGAAATCTCTGGACAATGTTGAATATGGATTAATTAGTAACTCACCTGTTTTGCCAAGAAAAAAAGTAAGCATCCAGAGCGTGGGAGTAGGGGCTATACTTTTATAACTGCCCTCACAGTTCCACACCCCTCGACTTCTGGGTCAAAAGAGCTACGTGAAAAATTTGTCTATTTTCCTCCTTTATTCCGGGAGCAGCTGTGCATCTGCCTCCACCCCAAACAAGGAAGCCTCATCAGACCACACTGCCTCCTATGTGTCTGTTAGGCATGCCCTGATACCTAGACCCGTGCCCCAAAGCCCAGCCAGGGCACAGTGACATCCCTGAGGACCAAGATGTAAGTATAGGTTAGTATTAAATATACTGACCCTGTAGTCAGACAGCCTGGCTTGGATCCCAGCTCTACCACTGAGGTTGTAAGATTTGGGAAAGTTCCTGGGCCTTGGTTTTCTCTTCGTAAAATGGAGATAATAGTACTGTCTGTGACTAAAGTCCTTGGCACAGAGCCACATCTAGTGATTTGCATAAAGGTCTCCAGAAGCCGTCTGGGTACCAGGATCCAGGGCCTGAGGGCTCCCATCCTCCTCCATCTGCCTGTCTGATCCCCCTGCCTGAGGGCCTTTGGGGCCCAGAACCCTGTTAAAGGTGAGGAGTTATTCTTGTCTGCAAGGCTGGAATCAGCAGTGTCACTTCACCTTTCTGTGCCCTCCCCACTTGATCTACCTAAGTCTTCAGGGTGCCAGACTGACATGGGCAGACACTTGTGGGCCCATCCAGTAGGAGCATGGATGACAGATCTCCTCAAGGCCTGAGACAGGTGAACTTTATGCCACCTCTGTGAGGGAAACTGGGCTCCCTGGACTCTTGAGTCCTGTCCTCAGCCTTTGCCTCAATTTCCCAACCTCAGCTGCCCTAGGCCTTCCCCCTCCCAAGATGCTCTCCTGTCTTGCAGTACCTCTGGGTATGAATGCGGGGGGGCTTCCTACCTGCTCCCCACACTACTTCACTTCTACCACCGTGGTCAGCATAGCCTGTGGGTTGGCAGAGACAGTGAGTGCCAGGAGAGCTGAATTGCTCTAGCCCTAACCAGCCTCTGTGCTCACAGAGTCTTCATACTCCATAGCTTCCAAGCCTCTCGTATTCCCGTCAGTAATTCCCTGGACGGGGCCTCTGGACAATAATTTATCAAGAAGGTGTCAGTCCTTTCTTCTGAAATGGAATGAACTTTGCATGGGATTCTTTTTTTTTTTAATACAAAAGTTCAAGCATATATAACAGTGAAAAGAATAGTATAATGAACCTCCAAGTACTCAGCTTCAGCAAGTATCAATTTATGGCCAGTGGTATTTTTCCCTTCCACGCCCAATGGAGTTTTTAAAGCAAATCCCAGACATCCTATTATTTTATCCTTAAGTATTTCATTATGCATCTCTAAACGATAAGCACTCATTTTTTATTAACAGTTTAATAACAGATATACTTCACATACTGTATAATTCACACATTTAAAGTGTTCAGTTATTTTTAATATACTCACAGATATGTGCAACTACTAACAGTCTATTTTAGAACATTTTCATCACCTCATAAAGAAACCCCATACACCTCAGCTATCATCCCCTTATCTCCCCATCCTCCCAGCCTTCTTGTTAGTTGCCTTCCAGTCAATTCTGACTCAAGGCGACCCCAGCCCTAAGCAACTACTAATCCAATCTCTGTCTCTATAGATTTACCTATTCTGGACATTTCATCTAAATGAAATCATAACAATGTGGTCTTTTGTAAATGGCTTCTTTCACTTAGCATAATGTTTTAAAGGTTTATCCCTGTTGTGGCATGTATCAGTACTACATTCGTTTTTATTGCTGAATAATATTCCATTGTATGGCTGTACCACATTTTGTTTGTCCATTCATCATTCGATGGACATTTGGGTTGCTTTCGTCTTTTGACTATTATGAATAATACTGCTACAAAGATTTATGTGCAAGTTTTTGTGTGGACATTATGTTTCATTTTTCTTGGGTACATACCTAGGAGTGTTTTACTGCATCATACGTTAACCCTATGTTTGACTTTTTGAGGAATTGCCAGACTGTTTTCTATAGGGGCGGCACCATTTTACATTCCCATCAGCAGTGTGATTTCTCACATCCTCACCACCACCTGTTATTGTATGACTTTTTGATTATAGCCATCGTAGTGGGGTTGAAGTGGTATCTCATTGTGGTTTTGATTTGCATTTCCTTGATGACTATAAATATCAAGCATCTTTTCATGTACTTATTGGCCATTTGTATATCTTTTTTGGACAGATGTCTATACAGATCCTTTGCCCATAGTTTAGTTTTTTTATTGAGCTGAAATTCAGATAACATAAAATTAACCATTTTAAGAGTGCATTTTGGTAGCATTTAGTACATTTACAGTGTCGTGCAACCATCATTTCTTCTAGTTCCAAGACATTTTCATCATCCCTAAAGAGACCCAGTACCCTCAATCAATTCCTCTCCATTCTCCCTGTCCCTAGCTCCTGGAAACTACTAATCTGTTTCTGTCTCTATGGATTTACCTATTCTGGACATTTCATACAAATAGAATCATACAATTTGTTACCTTTTATGTCTGCCTCTTTCAGCTTATTATAATGTTTTTTTTAATTTTAATTTTTTTATTGTACTTCAGGTGAAGGCTTACAGAACAAATAGTTTCTCATGAAACAGTAGTACACATATTGTTTTATGACATTGGTTAACAACCCCACA